AAGAGCAATTATCTCCATTTTAGCTAAACCTGACCCTATTTCCATCTTTTGATGCGTACAGAGATGGCTAGGACTTTTCCTTATCCCTTCAATTGGCTTTGAGGTGCTGATATATAGTCTCTGAAGCAAGGACAACAGGGCAGTGTTTCCCCAGCACCACACCCAGCTCCCAAATAAAATGTGTGAGCCTTGGTGAGCCTCAAGATAAGAGGTTATGACTTCCCAGGGCATAAAAGATTACACATCAGAGCTAAAGCACCGACCCTAAAACATTAGACACTATCTCAACTGTGTTATGCAGATTATTCTTTCTGCATATTGCAGAGATTTCAGGCCTTCTACCTAGCCCAGCTCACAGCACTCACCTACTTCCTGCCATTCTCACAGTCATTCTGTCCTCAAGCCACTTATTTCTTCACAAATTAATAAAACCTGGGTTCGGCCCCGGGTCAAGACCTTTTGTTCCAGTTAGCCATAACTGTAACCAGACTTAGGACCCCTTGGCTCCCCGTAACTACAAATATGCCTTCTTGGTGTCTTTATTCTCGCCATGGGTTGCACTGGAAATGGCAGATTGGAATTAACTCACTAGAATTCCAGTAACTTTTCCATGGAATTACAAATATAAACTTCCTGGGGCATAATGAGGACCAGGAAGGGCACTCTATAGCAATCTACTGTACTGACGATGGCCCATCACCATTAACAAGGGGCACTCAGGGCTCCAATCAGCAAGGTTTTCTAGAAAAGATCAGTGACTGTCAAAATGTAAATGCTTAAGTAACTCTAAAAATAAAATGTGAAGATAACCTTTATAAATAATTTTTTTACTGAGAGTGGTAGCACACCTATAATCCCAGGACTCAGGAGGCTAAAGCAGGAGCATCACAGCAAGTTCATGTCCAGCCAGGGATACCCAGTGAGTTCAAGCCCAGCCTGAAAGACACAGCAAAACCCTGTCTCAAAACAACAACAACAAAATAATAATAATAATAAAATTTTTTTCAAAAAAGGAACCAATTCTGTCTCACAATACTCTTAGAAGTTATTTTACAATCTCCACTGTTGACAGGTTGGTGCTGACTACAAAGGCATTCGCCCTTTCTCATCATGGAGGTTCTTGTCAGAGACAGTGGGGGTCTTGAATGTAACCTATTCCAACTCCGCATCTGCTGCTGGACACATAACTATAAAGTCCTGCTCCATTATGGCTCCCTCTGCCTCTAACCTGCCAACTGCTGCAACATAACACTGGGTTATGTCACACCACACCTGATCCACCACCGAACGATACAATGAAATCCAAACACACCACAACACAGCTGAAGAGACAGGGACACTACCGCGCCTGTATGATAAATGGAGCTGCCCTATTAAAAATTCAGATAACCTACTTAAATAATTTAAAACCTTCATAAACAGGTTACATAAAAAACACTGGAATGCTATCTCTAAAAATATGGCAAATATCTAGATAATCTAGTTGTTATCATCAAGGATAGCAATGTGAATGGCCACAGTCTGTCATACAATCAGTATTTTGAAACCTCAAGGTGGAAAGTACAGAAACCTATGGTCTTTACTGCTATCTGAATGTCCTCAGGGATTCTCAAAAATCACAAACCTTTAAAATGAATCCTGAAAGAAAAAAAAAAAAGTATATATATTA